ATGGAATGTTATCTTGGCTATGATACTTAATGGGGATAGTTTTCTTTTTAAATGCTTTAGTAATTAGAAACGTTTATCCATTGTTCTATTGTTCATTAATTAACGTTTACTAATTCCTCTGATTCCGCATACCTATCTAAATTTATAGTTCAAGTAAATTTTTCATTTGTACTAAATCACACAACATTATTTTGAGAAAGAATATTTTACGTAAAAATCTATGAAAAATGCTTAATTTATTACTATGTACAGATAGATGTATATATTTATTACTATATATATTTATATATATTTACTATATTATATATATATATATATATATATATATATATATATATATATATTACATATATTTACTATGTATAGATTTATTACTATATATATATAGAGTGCGCCCATTCAAAAGTATGGTGTTCAAATTTTTTCTAAATATATCAGTGGAGAGTATACATGAATGTAGAATACCATTCCCTATGCTTCGATCCCAAGAGATGTTTTGTTATAAAAATTATGTAGCTTAGTTTTATAAATACATTAGCAGAACCCGTGGCTACGTCCGCATTCAATCTACAAAAAAAGCTCTTTGGCTTTATGATATACAGCGCTAATTACCCTCGTTTCGTTATTTATTAATATGTTCATACAAAAACACTAAAATCGCGATTAAAGATAGCAATAGGTCATAGGAGAGTGAAAAATACTTGACGACCTATTCTTATATCTACCAAATATACAAAAAAAAAAACGTGTATGTATAGTGTGTTCTTTATACGCACGTAAGAAGCTATACTTCTTTGGCGTAACGGAACAAAAATAGCTAAAGATTTTATCCCGTATGTCACAGCTCTCTGTTTGTAAAAGGACTGTATCTAACTTCATCATGTCGCTTTTTGGCTGTCGATGTGCGCGCGCATCGTAAAAATTTTACTTTCATATTTTTTTCCAAACATGCCAAAAGAAGCATTAAATCTAGAATTTCATTAAAATCGGTCGAGCCGTTTCGAAGGAGAGCGACCATAAACACCGTGACACGTGATATTTATATATTAGATTTATTTGGTATCAATAAGTACGTCACTATCATAAAAATGAATATAATATATACGTAAGTACGCAAGTCTACAGTACTCTGAGTGAAATGCCGCGAGTCCCAATTGCGTAGACAATTTTCATTGTTGTTTAATTAAATTGACAAGCGTATTATTTGACAAGCCTTCTTGAAAATTATATATTGCTTGTTAAGATAGTAACGATGTTGGGACCTTCGATTTATTACTTTGATTTCACTATTTATTTGTTGATTAAATTAATATTTAAATGTACTTAATTTATGCATAGCAAAATGATTTAGATGGATTATATTGTAATTTACTAGCGACACCGTCGCTCGAATTACGTTTTAAGGTTTAGTACAGATTTCTCAGAGATGAGATATTTTCCCAAAGTAAAAAGTATCATATACCTATATTGTCTCGGATAACCAGCTATCATGATATCAATTTTCATCAAAATCTGTTAAATGGTTTTCTCATGATGCTTTCCCAGACAGACAAACAGACAAAAATTCTAAAAACTACAGATTCGGCCTCTGTATTGATAGCAATAACTATTTCAATAAGATTTTCCAAAAAATATTTAATGTACAGATTCGACTTAGAATTTTATTACATGTATAGATTATTTTTACTATACTGTTCGCCTATAGCCCAATTTTTTTTTTATTAGAAATGGGCTCACATTGACCTTCATCTTAGCTCGGACGGACAAGGTCTACGATCTAGCGAGTTTGCCCAGGAGAAGCCTGATAACCGATAACACCAAAGCTCGACAATAGTAATTTAGCAAAAAAGAAATAGGAAATAGTTTAGACTCAAGAGAAAAAGTACTGAAATATTTTGTCTTTGCTTATTTATATATTAATTATTATTATATACCTACTATACTTATTTTTCTGTTGAATACATAATAAAATTAGCAAGGTGTTCTGTTTTAAAAATAATATACTACATATATATAATATTTATCTAGACTGATCTTATTAATGACCTGCAACGAAGTGCAAGTATATTTTCTAAGTAATGCACAGTAATTGCACTGTTGGTGACAGACGTCGCGTAAAGAAAATAATGAAACTACTTATTACTCGTCTTTAAATGAGGAATATTAGACTACCTACATTGTGGGAGTCGAACAAAAATAACCAGAAAGAAATTAGCTAATTATAGCTAACTAGTTTTTGCCCGCAGCATTGCTCGCACAGTAAGTGGGATGGGGTGAAAGATGACCTATGTCCGTCCCCAGGATACAATTTATATCCTTGCCAAATTTTATCGAAATCTGTTCAGTGGCTCAAACGTGAAAAGGTAAGATAGAGTTACTTTCAAGTTTATAATGGAAAAATTCATGAAAGTAGGTATAAATAAAATATTATGTTTGATAGCGAGTTTCTGTAACTTTCCTCCCCCTCTCCTTTTGCTAAAACAATTTATAAAAATATTTTACGTATGTTACGCGATATTTTCGCTAATTGTGAATCGATTTTTATTATTCTATAATATATTTATATCATAAGGGAAGTCTCATATTTTCAAGAAATTATTCGTTTTTTAAGGTTATTTTGAAATCGATTCTTCTTTTTAAAAATGAAAAGTAATTGTAAACTCTTAGTTTATATTTTATATAATATGTACCCATTAATGTATGGTAATTTATAGGAGCTTTTGTATAACACTAAAATTATAAATTCTGAGCTCTAGATTATTATGCTTAGGAGGATACGTATGAAAAAAAATACCTACATTAAAAAAAAAAATCATCATATTAAAAAAAATTGGGTAATTATAATAGGTAGTGTTCGTTTAGTAGCCGAAATCCAACCATGATCATAGTTGAAAATTTGAGTTAAATGTTTCCAAAATGTTTTCATTGATAAAAGCTAAAGCTCATCAATACCTACTTAACAAAAAAAAAATACTAAACGGTTTTGTTTTTGCCTATTTATATAATAATGTATGTACATGTAGATAACGACAGTGGTCCCAGGTAAGTTTCTAAGAAATTAATTAAAATTCTAAGAAATCTATTATTAACTGACACGCCGGTGTGTCCGCGGTCGTGAAGGGATTAATACGTAAAGGTATAATAAAATGTTAAAAATATGCAATCCTCCATCTTCATTATTCACAAAGCGGAGTGTAGTACCAGAACATGCGTTCAGACATGTTTAAAGGACAAATACGCCATAATATTGTTTTAATGTCTCGATCGTAGTGATAATTTTTATTTGAAGGTTGCGGCCTTTTAAATATTCTATTGTTAGTACGTTTTATGTATTTTCTGGTAGACAATAAAAGTGTTCCATTGGAAGTTGTAACGAGGGCCTATTCTACTGCCGAAGTTTACTCATATAAAACCATATAAAAAGACTCGGTTTTAGACCAAACTTCAGCAGTCGGATCTATTTGGCAGTGCGGTCACGTATCAAGTGGCACATCCTTGTGACTTCTGGTTTCTACTGATTACAAATACTAAATTTATTTCCTGCTTTCATAGTGTAAATCAGTTTGGCAGTTCGTTTACGGTTTACTGTTCCGCCTTTCTTATTTTCTTCTCGATTTCGTCGAATCTACACTAAAATAGAAATTATATAAACAAAGATAAAAAGCAAGTCTGTTACTAGGTTGTTTTATTAATCTATTAATATTTATTTATGATTACGATGAATTTATTGCGGTAACTTAAAGCACAAAAGTAACTGTATATGAAAAAAAAATTTACTCGTTTGCATAATTTTTGTTTCCATAAATATTAATCACCATTTTAAGTAATAAACTGTTGATATTTACGACGACGTGTTTATTTATACTAGACGATCTAAATTCTTTATTGCACAACCGTTTTAAACTGTTTAATTAAAGAACATAGGATATTTTTGTAACGATTTCCCTCAGAACTTTAAATTGAACAAGAACCATAGACTACTTACAACGATAAGGTAATGTGAATGAATGCTGTTCAAATTGAAATGACGTTTTTATATTATTATTTCTTGGATCAAGCACATTAGATTTGCATATGAATGATGAATAAAAATTCTTTACATCACAAATTATCTCCATATATTCTTAAGCTTATGTAAGTTATATATGTATTATCTGGTACTTTTAATTAAGTTGTGACTAAAAATGTATGGAAGCACGAAACGTCAATCTTAATGCGTTAAATATTAAAAAGGTTTTGGGGAAATTATTTTCTTTTATCTCCTGTTCTGGTTGGGATGTTTTAAAAATGTAAATTGAATGACTTCATAGTACAAGCTTCCGTAACTCTTTACGTAGCGTTTGTGCCCATTTCGAGATAAGTACAATGAGATATGCCTTTAGTTTGTAATTTGGAGATTTATTTATTGTTGTTGTTTTATCGAAAGCTGTTTTACATTTACAGTTCTACTTTTTCAAGGAAATTGACATTAGTTTGTGGCATAAATCCTTAGAAGATGTTGGCAGAAATATTATGAAAATTTTGAATAAATAAATAATTAATTTTTCATTACATTGGAATGGAGGAATGGACATGCTATCTGTACCTAAATAGTAGTTACTAATGTAAATGGTAATGTTTTTTTACATAATACTATTAGTATAATTCAATCGATTTAATTTACTTGACCATTTCTAAATAACTGAAATAAAATACTTTAACGCTTAAAGCTCTGTAAAGTTACATAAAAAAAATTCATTTAAATATTATGCTTTGCCCTTATTCTTAGACGGTATTGCGTCATTAGTAATAAAACAAAAAAAACTATAAACAAGACTTTGAATTTTTGCTACCATTATGGGAACGTTGTTTAGCCATATATAATATTCTATCCATTTCGTACATTACCATATATAGAATTACAAAGGAGCAGCCTGAGATACGAGAAACGCTTTAATTTAAGGCGCGCTATTCCTTTTATTTACTGGAGTTGTTACAGGACGATGTTAATGCATCTCTCACGTTTTTTCTTCGGCGTAAGCATTAGGCCGTGGTTTATTGCGTCCCTCAAAAAATAATTTATGATTAAAAACTCCAATAAAGGCTCGAAGGTTTTGCCTATTAGCAGTTCGATGTATGGGTGCTATTGTGCGAATTGTGAATGACCTCTTCAGCATAATAATGGGTGAAGGGATGCGCAGGAGCGCGTGCGGCAGAGGGGCGACCGGTTTGAAATTAGAACGTTTTTTATTTGAACGCAGCGCCTTTGTCGGCGCCCGCCCGGTGCGCATGCGCTAACTCGACAAATACGTCGAATGAAATAAGCCGTATTTTATTTCGTTTCCTTTCTGAATGGTCTTTTAATTTTTTTGTGAAATATTTGGGGTTACACAGCGGGTCAATAGGTTTGAAACTGCGTTGTAGGATTATTTGTACGTTAGCAAGATTTGTTGTAAGAAATTAACAAAAGCTACACAAGGGAACTTTTATGGCTCACAAAGCGAGGCCATTATCAAGTTAAATTAAACCATGACGAGATCTTGTTACCCCTAAAGCTAGCAAATGTGAAGCTAACAAAAGGTTTTATGTATGTAAAATCTTGAATAGCGTACATAAAATATTTATATTATCTTAAATTACTTACATTTACACATACCTTCAGAAATTGTAATGAACTATTTACTACATAACATTCTGCGCGCTCTTTAAAACTTTTTGCGATTAGTATTCCTTATGGGAACCACGTGTTCAAGGTTGATAAATAGTCGAATCGAGTTTATTGCTCATAAACTACCTCCAAGCAACAGTATTTAATACACGAAGAAATAGACAAAAAATTTTTTTTGTTTGTATTGAGTATTACAGAAATTATTATAATTTTAATTGTAAAGTACAAGTTCTTCGAAATATCTCTCAAGTTTCCTGATTTACAGGCCGATTTTCTACTTTATTCAAATATTATATTTGGTACATAATATGTAGTATGTACCTATAACTTATTAAGTTGTAATTAACATTGTGATAATATAAAGTAATAAAACATTAACCTTTACTAAATAAAAATGTTTATCCAATAAGAAAATTGATTCGTTAAATCAAATCAAATACTCATAAATAAAGCTCATTGGTATCAAGCGAGTGATATTGATTTATAGTTCCTAGCGCTACAATTAAGCGATCGCTTTAATGTATAACGTTGCATCATAGGTTCATGGCACTCTTAGTTTATTTACAATGGGTCAAACAGTTGTAATATCCCATTAGATCGACGTACGGCGCCTTGGATCCCCCCATTTCGGTGAGAGTAAACAGATGAGGGAGGGAGGTAATAGTACGACACACGACTCGAAGCCAGTCGGTCGCGTCACGACCGGTACCGCTTCCCGCGCTAAGCTTATGCGTGCTTAGCAGAACTTTTTCGCGCGTTCATATACAAAAAATGACTTTTTAAGCACAGATAATTAATAATTGTGAATAAAACCTTTTTAAAGTTTTTTTAAATATGTAATTTTTTATGTGAAGTGTAAACCGGTGGCAGTATGGTGGTTGTCGGTGGTAATGAGTGCGATAACACCATAAATGGGAAGAACCAATTCGTGTTTCTTGTTTTTGTACATTTATTACTTATTGGACTGAATGGAACTAATGGTAAATATGATTTTATTATTTTTATAAGCATTGTTTTTTTTATATTATAAGTTTTGTTAATTGTTAAATTTAAATCAGAACTATTATGTATGAATTATTCGGTTATATTTAATAAGTGTTTTTATGTTAATCAGGTATTTTTAATGCTAAATTAATGCAAATGATATGATATTATACATGAGTAGTAGAATGTTGAATATTTAAAACATATATAACTTGTAGACACAGTTTTTAATATTATTATTTTCTTAAATTAGGAGAAGATAATAATAAATTTATTAATTTGATTAAACTGCTGTAATAAATTATAAGTTGCCTGTATACTTACAATTTGTAATTAGATTGATATCTATCTATACATATAATAAAATTGTAACCAAGCCGAATCTGTACATGGCATATTTTTTGGAAAATCTTATTGTAATAAACATTATTATCGATACAGAGGCCGAATCTATAGTTTTTAGAATTTTCAAATAAATGCTAGTATGCTAGTGGCAATGATAGTTTTAAATAAAACTATCTTATCACTATGGTCACGGGAAAGACCATGATTGCTGTAAAAACCATGATGATCCGTGATGTGATGAGCCGTGACCATTATTGCTGTAAAGCATTCGAAACACCGAGAACCAAAAATCAAAATAAATCCGTGAAAAAATCCGATAAGATAGTTTTATTTCAAATATACCAAATAAATAATTTTAGTTTTTGTTATATTTCACTTTTAAGTTACATAAATTAGGCGTCATTAGTATCAATCATATATCATTTAATTAAAAGCTATCATTAATTTATTTTTTTTACATTTTGTCAGCAATAAAATGGAACTAATATTATTATACGTATAGGTATGTATGTTAATGTAACATTTTTATCACTCCTAGAGGGAATTTGATGTAAAACAAATTCCCCCTACATATTTTACATCGAAAGTATTAACTGACAAGAAACTTTGCGCTTGCTCTGGCTTGCGTCAATTCTGTCAATCGCTGTCGCTCTAGCGATAACGCTAACGTAATGTGCACTTTATATCGTTATCACGGGCTTTCGTGTTTCATAAGCATTCCTTAAGTAATACTATCTTGATGCTTTTCAATATTAGTTTTCTTCATATTTTCTTCAGCAACTTAAAGCTTTATGTGGACACAACTACAATTAAAGTATCCACTGAAAACTTTTTGAGTACTTTTAGAGTTTAAAGTATAAGTATTAATATATCTGATCTTGTTAAGTAGTGTTTATTTATACTATTAGTTATGAGCTGTTTAAATTAGTCACCTTGTAACTTAAAAAAATATATATTTTCTGTATGACTTTTTCTTTTGCGGTCAATGTCCAGATTCTGAATTCGTTATAATGAATTACTTCCTATTCTTTTACTATTATAATAGCATGATAAGAGACTAAGTAACTAAGATGAAAATTACTCGTATTATTAAAGAAAGTTTTAAGTGAAGATTCCATGTTAGTACAGTTATCTACTTGAATCTTTCTTTACAAAGATATCTCATGATAAACTAAATATTGGTAGATATATAGTAAACTATACAATCCACAGTATTGATATAGTAGTAAAAATCTACATATATACGCCTTTACAAAATAAGTAAGCGTAAGCGTAAAAAATAAAAATAAAACATGTTACCAATTTAACTTGAAAATAAACCAATATTAGTAATAATAGAACATCCTAAGTAAGGTCGTCCTTCACCCATCTGCTTACCGGATGAAAAGTATTTAGTTTTAAACATAATGTTTTAAATAGCAGATTTGTTGTGTTTTGATATTATATGGTCAAGGCTATAGCAGGTTAAATTCTCTAATTAGAAATTTTAAAATTACCTACTTGTTCACCAAATCACTCTCAAATTACTTGAAAATACAAATGTAGAGAACAAAAGGGAGCACGTAGAAGTAAGGTTGCTTGCGAAAAATCGGTCATGAATGATGATAGGCATTGTGCGTATGATTTGATATTTGGCCAGAGCATCTAATGATAAGAATGTAAGCTATATAAAACAAAAACAAAAAGATACATTATTATTCATAAATACGTCTTTCTCTTATTATATTACAGAATAATTTTGAACGTAAACGAAAAAATATGTTTTATTTAACTAAATATTTCGACAGTATTCTACTTTTGGAGATCTTATAACTGCAAAAGTACACCAACTTTAAAGTTACTTTATAATAAATATATTTCCCTCAATGCTGATGTGATTTCCATCATTTATTTTGAATTTTTATTACATTATGTGATGTTACAGCTATTGGCTAATCTAATTCCTAAAAACATCTTCAAATCCAGTAAAAAAAAGTTTGTGTTAACGCATTGCTTGGCTTATGTTATTCTCAGACTATAATCTTATCTCTTATCTTTGGGTAACCAAATATGTCCATGATCCACTACTCTATTTTACGTTAAAATACAAATCAAATACATTTTTTTTAATTTTAAGTTACATTTAGAACAGTTAAAAGATATATGGTATATTCTCACTTGTCATACGATATTTTAAAATGTTTATTACATAGCATAGCTCTTAATAAAATTACCCATATATTAAAATTGAATTTTCGAATTTCGCGAACCATTGAGCCGTTTAATTGTAAGTTGAGTAATTAAAAGTAGCTCGGAGCCAATTAACAAAATGTAGTTCGGTAAAAGCGTTACGTTAACATAACAATGAAGCCTTGTTTTTTACTTCGACCTTAATTAGAGTTTGCGAGTAGTTTTAGAATCAAAATTTTATATCATGATAGCATGTGCCTATTCTAAATTAACGGTATTTTAAAGGTTGGATATTCGTTATTTTAACTAACAACCATTTAAATATTGCATATTAAATATTTTATCTTCATTAGTAATTATTTTTGAACATATAATTATAATTATTATTTTTATTTTTAAAGATTTTAAAAATTAAATTATGAAGAAATTATTTAAACACTAGCAGCTCACCTTCGCTTCGCTCGGATTGGCCTCTAGAAAAACAAATACAAATCTATCCCATGGGAACCGTACATTTTTCCAGGATAAAAAGTAGCCTATGTGCTATTCGAGACTATACCTTATCCCTGGCGTGATTGAGTAATAAACATCCAAACATCCATCTAAACTTACACATTTATAATTTTAGTAAGATATAAATCAATCGTTACGTTTGTTTTACCAAAAAGTAAGAATTAAAGGAATAAAGTTGCTTACTTTATTAAAGATTGCAAACTCTAGTTGGAATATCTCTATATTTTGTAAGCCTTCGTAAGTTAAAAGAAGTATTTGAATATAAATAAATACATCACAAATTATTACTGATGTAGAGTCGACGTAATCAATATTATATATACTATTGATGATGATGATGTTCTCCTAGCCGATTCCGGCCACGGCGGCCAATCTCAATGAGATTAGCCAACTGCGCAGGAGATATTATAGTGCTCAAGTGTACGCGCAGACACAAGTGCACTCTCTATTCCTATCACTCTCATACTCCGGTGGGACGACCACTCGACACGATCGGTGAGAGTTAAGGCGCAGGACCGACGGCTTTACGTGCTCTCCGAGGCACGGGGGTGAAACACCGCCAACTTCCCAACTCCGGACTGTTACTGAGACTTACTATACAGGAAGACTCAATAACTAAACTTGGCCCGACCCGGGACTCGAACCCAGGACCTCCGGGTGTGCAGCCGTACATGCTAGCCACTACACCACCGAGGCAGTTAAATATATACTATTAATACATAAGTCAAACATGTACTTATACTTTTCCGGTCTCGGCTAATAAAATATGTACGAAAAGGCCATTTATTATTGAAAAAGCTTGCGTACAATAAAACTATTTTATTGTGTTTAATTACATAATTAAGCATAAAAATAAGTACCTTACCATCCACTATCTTACCTACTATCAAAATCCGTTTGTTAATTAAGATATTAAATAAAATAATAAAATTGATTTATGAGAACTAAATTTGTTTATTGCGGATGTTGCGTATATTAAAATGTTTTAATTTTTTCATATTCTTTATCAAAACTTATACTATCTGTAAGTGATGTTATTTAACACTTAATAACGTTTTTATAGTCTCTATAACATAATCTTATATTAATTTTATTTTTTGCTTCGTCTTGATTTTTTATAATAAATATAATAAATATCTTAATACATTAACACACAGCACCATCTACATATTTGCATGGTAAGCTACGAGGCTTGTTTTATGGACACCAGATAGTTGATACACTACACATATATAACTTTAAATACATACATATTATAAAATACCCATGACTGAAGTACAAAAATTCGTGCTCATCGCACATATAAATGCTCCCAACGGGACTCGAACCCGCGATCACTGCTTCACAACAAGTAAGGTCCCTACAAACTGAGCCAAACGAGTCGTCAATTGTTTATGAGCCAACTTTTGTAAGTTTATTATGTAAAAAGGAAATAAATAATATTCATATATTTTATGAACTTGTATAAACTTTATCTACCTTTTTTTTTTAATAAATCACTAGACCTTTTTCATGAATTAGAATTAAATAAACAATCTTTCATGCAGTAAAAAGTTAAATATTTTTGTGTGACCCAAAAACTCAATTTATCATTTGCCCCTTCTTTGCTTTTAAAATTTACATTATCTATAAAAAGACAGCCCCGTTAAGATAATGCGTATATTGTACGGCTATCACGAATGACAAGTATTAATAAAGGACCACTACCGTGCTTGATCATGACGGTAGCTAATAGAGTAAAGCTTCCAGCAAAAGCTTTTATAGATCTTTTTAATAAAATATATTTTGATTTCATTTGAACATTAAATAATTTTTTAAGTAACGATTAATAATATATTTTTCTATTGTAAATTAATAATTATGTATTACAAATTAAATTTAAAAATTTCTGCACCGTATAAAGTATAAAATATGTTAAAAAATATTTCACGTATTATATTCTTAATATCTTATAAGTTAACACTTGTTGTAAGTTGTTACCATAGCAGAGAGTACAAGATTTGAAAGATTAAAATTAAATATATTTTTCCAATCAGTAGTATTTTGTTTAAATTGTATAATGTAGACGACATAATTAAACAAACGAATTTCATAAAAATATTAGCTTAGTCATTCTTGATTATAAACATAATATCCATACTAATGTTATAAATGTGAAAGTTTGTGAGGTTGGATGAATGGCTGTTTGTTACTCTTTCACGCCAGAATGGCTTAACAAATTTGGATGAAATTTGGCACAGAGATAGATTCATTGTAGTCTGGAAAAACACACAGGCTATTTTTATCTCGGAAAAATGACTGGTTCCAAGTCGGACCGGTACAAACCAATGAGTCACTTATAAACAAAGATATAAAAATGAATACGATTTTATAAATTCTTCACTTTGGTAAAGCTTAAGATGTTTTATATTTCATGCAATCTAAAATTGTCTTTAAACTTACTTAAAATGCAAATACAATCGACGAGTTTGTAACTTGCCTAAATAGGAAATTAAGCTGCGTATCTTTTTATCTAAACATCGATCTAAATGTAGTGAAGGCAATATGAGACTGAAGTCATTGAGACATTAAAAGATTACATCCAAATCTTTAGTTTCATCTTAAAAGCCTATTATGATGTGATTTGAAATGTATTTTTGTTAGTTACGAATAGAAATTCGTGTTTCATTGCTAGATATTTCCATAAATTAAAAATTTATCTGGGTCATTGTTACGTTAGAATTTCTCACGATATCAGTTTAGTAGTTTTGCAGAGTAACTTAAAAAAATCAAAATGTTATTTAGAATGATAAATATCAATTAACCTCAAAAATTTCAAAATATAAAATCTTATTTCCTAGCACAAAGTCGAGCGCCGCGAATCAAAGAGCACCCGTCAAACACAGTTTCTGGTCGCAGTGAGCCTGCAACATTGAGATGTGTTGTTGAAGGTAGACCTAAACCATTCGTGCAATGGTATAAAGATGGATCACCACTGCCTCCAGCAGAGGACGGGCACAGAGTGGTTTTAGAAGATGGCTTGCTATTTTTAAGGTATTATGTGTATTATTGAAATGTTTTAAAATTTGATATACGGACATATTTTAATGTGAAGTTAAGCTGTTAATTAAATTAATTATTAAATAAATGGAAGTAAAGTAGAAAATTATTTATAATATATAAATCTATTATTTTTATAAAAAATATATTGACATGGAAATTAGTTTAAATATTTAAATAATACTGATGTCTCGTACGTAATATGGGTATAATATCTCAATAATTTTGAAGCCATAATCATCAGTGTGGCTATTAACATTATTCGAAAGTGTGACCAGCAATTTCTTTTGAAATCATAGGGTAAATCGAGGGAAGAAAGAAAGTGATGAGGGGATTTATTATTGCGTGGCACGAAATGGAGTCGGGGAGGCTGTAAGTCGGAACGCTTCATTAAACGTTGCCGGTAAGATCATAACTTTAGTTTTATGATAATGTTACATACAATAAACTTAGCCGTAATATGTACTTACTCTTCATTTATTAGTATGCGTATGTTTCGCAAAGTATCGTTTAAATAAATTAAACTATGGATGAAAAGTTTCCGACGGTTAGACAATAGTAATTCTTTTGTACCTACATACATAACATATACTTTGTATGTCAAACGATACCGTGTAGTTATGGGTGTAGGCCAAAATTTCGAAATAAATTATCTTTCATACTAAATATAAATCAGAAGTAAGTATACTGTTAAAAGTTGTAAATTTACTTGGCTTTCTTTATTTTTCATCGTGTTCTATTTTAGTGCTACGCGACGAGTTTAGAGTTGAGCCTCGGGATGTTCAGGTGGCAGCTGGAGAACCCGCTTTGTTAGAATGTATGCCACCTCGAGGAGTACCGGATCCATCAGTACATTGGTTAAAAGATGGAAATGTTTATGATATAGAAGTAAACGGAAGGTAAATATTGATACAATTTGAAAGAATATGAAAAAATATAAGTAAGAGGTTGTTATTTACAATATATTATAACTTTTTAGGGTTACAATAACTGAAACTGGAAGTTTGAAAATTCTTGAGACGTTACCAAATGATAGTGGGTTATTTAGATGCGTTGCCTCAAATATTGCTGGTGAGAGACAGTCGAGAGCTGCAGCGTTAATTGTTTTAAGAAGACCGCACTTTGTAAAAAAACCTAGTAATATTACTGCTTTAGTCGGTCAAAACGTAGAATTTAACTGTCAGGTAATTTTTTAATACATAATACGTATTACATAAGATTTAAAATTACGTCATCACTCAAAAAGTATTTTTTTTAAACTTATATGACTAACATTAAGGAATCTACATACCAATAACAAATTCATTAAAAATAGAAGAACTATGGAAAATTACCAATACAACCGAATCATACAACCTCATGTTTTTTGAAGTTGATTAAAACAATTTATTAATTCTCAATTCTAGATGCGATGAGATTTCTTCACGAGTACTCACATATAATGTATGTTTAAACACTAACATGTAATTAAATTGTAAAGTTGGTCTATTTGTTTGTAGAGCTATGACGTTAGCGTAAAAATAACATGGGTGAAGGAAGATGGTGTGTTGCCTTCTCATGCAACAATAATCCGTGGACTATTACGGTTGGAACAGGTGTCCGCATCCGACGCGGGTATCTATTCCTGCCGCGCTGATAGCCACGCCGGCACAAGCATCGCCAGTGCATCTTTAACTGTATACTGTAAGCCCTATTTTATTATTCGGTTTGATTTTATTGCATGTTTATTTTAGATATCTGCTTAGAGTTATTTAAAAACGGCCATCTGTTCTAGCTTTACCACACTTCACGCAGATACCGTCCAATTTGACCGCATGGGAGGGTGATGTCGTATCAATTCCGTGTGAAGCAAAAGGTTTACCGACACCTACTACTTTTTGGATCTTAGAAAGTACTGAAGATTCACTTTTATTTCCTGAATGCACTAAAAGTAACTCAAGCTTATTGTACCTGGACGGTGCAAAAGTAGAACACGGCGGGCGGGTTATTTGTGTAGCAGTAAATGCGGCTGGAAGTGTTATGCAAGAGGCTTATCTAAATGTGTTAAGGAAAACCAATAATCCAATGAAATTGAAAGAGCATTCGACAGACGAAAACTTTGACGATAATTACGAACAGGAGGTTCGAATGACAGAGTATGAGTTTGTTCAGGCGAGGAAGTATTTGCAGCAAAATGTTTTAGTTCTAAGGAGAGTGGAAACTTTGTCATCAACTTCGCTTAAAGTTGTATGGGACGTGAGTGTCTATACTAAGTTTTAATAATGAGAATTAAATATTCAACATGGCTTATACTATTTTTAACATATTTCAGGTGTTAACAGATTATAACGAATATTTAGAAGGAGTCAAAATCTGGTATAATGGTACATCTTTAAATTGGCGCAATAGTAGCGAGGAAATAACAATTTTAAATTCGTCACAAGTGGAATCTTGTTCTAACGGATCCCTCACTAATGTTGATAACAGCGGGTCATCGAGCTATGTTTTATCTGGGTTATTGGCATACACGCAATATGATATTTTTCTCATGCCGTACTATAAAATGTTGCTTGGAAAACCATCTAATTCTATGGTTGGATATACAGACGAAGACGGTATGTTTTTTTTGGAATGCTATAATTATTATTTTTGTGTTGTCAACTATATTGTTATTTGTAAGTAATAATTTTAGTGCCACAAGCTCCACCCCAAAGTGTGACAGCGGGTGTAATTAACGCAACTTCTGCCTGGATACGATGGGAACCACCACCTGCAAACACTTGGAATGGGGAGCTTACAGGCTATTTGGTGAGTTTACAATTTGTGCATCTATATCTATTCACTATAATTATTCTTAACCTCATTCATCAACCCATCTATTAATCTTTTTTGAGGTAAAGAAATATGGCATATTTATCTGATACAAAAAAATATCAATTTAAAATAAAAATAAAATTTCTCCTTAATATATTATGTAAGAAAAAAATTGAAGTTTTTATGATTTAATTTTTTATTATACTCGTACACACCAAAATTTATTTTGATTAATTTAACTTTACTGTATTTTTAAATAAAATAAAAAGTTATACTTCATTGGCGTAATAGAACAAAAATAGCTAAATATTTCATCCCGTATGTCACAACTCTCTGTTTTAAAAGGAATGATAAATTAATAAAATCTATACTAATAAATTAAGAGCCGATTTTTTTATTCGGTTATACTGTGATAACTACTGAACCGATCGGAATAATACTCATACCATAAGATGCAGCGTGTTTCGGAGAAGGTTTTAGTATATGATATGTTGGTGATTACTAATCAGGAACTTATATTTTTGACTTAGAAATAATGAATTTTTATAATATTATAATTAGTTTAAATGGTTTAATAAATTAATATACTATGCGGATGGAGCTGCACGAAAACGCTAGCAATTAAATAAGAAATATTTGGCATATTACAATCATATATATTTATAGAATATCATTTAAGGAAAGAATATAATATTATATGTATATCATTTGGCAGACAATAACAACGGTTACCATGACAACAAACTGTTATCAATTAACTTCATCAAGTCGCTTTCAGCTAACTTTATCATGTCACTTTTTGGCTGTCGGTGTGCGCGCGAATCGTAAAAATTTTACTCTCATATTATATTTTTTCAAACGTCCCAAAAGAAGTATAACTTTAAAATGGATTATATTGTACTTTTTATACACTAGACTAGATTGATTTATATTAACAAAAAATATATTACATAGATTGAAATAAGGGTGGGTAGTGGTAGCAACGGGCGGGTAGTGGGGCAAATGTCTCTCAATGCGCGGACCCGCGCGGCGGCGGCTAGCTCGCTTCGAACAGGCGGACGATATAGCGCGCGCGCGGCTGCTGTCACTAGACGGGGTCACGGCCCTTTCAGTGTGCCCGCGCAGATACACATGATACCCACTCAATCTCAGAGACATTATGTACAGTAAGTGATCATATTTTATTGATATTACCATTACGTTCATAGAGTCTAGATAATAGCTATAAAGGGAATGATCTCATTAAAATAATAAGTAGTGGTCAAGCGGCATCATTTGAAGTTTTCATTGCCAGATATGGACATTTGGCTTCCGTATTTTGTACTTGCCCACAAGGTTATTACGCACAGTGATATCAAAAAGTGGACAAGTGTCGTGACAGAAAATAATCTGATAAGAATTAAAATATTTTTGTTTAATCGTAAAGTTGCCTTTTGTCTAGAGTAACGGTATTACATTGACTTAAAAATTATTCACATTGATTTCATTCTTAATTTCAATATGAGTGATTGATGGTACTTGTTTCCCCCCAAAACTTGTCATACTCACGTTTCAAACAACGATCTATACCTATGCTTGGTCAAGAAACCGACGTTTACATATCATATTACAAACATGTAGCCTTTAAAAAGTTCCGAAATGTGATTCTACCACAGTTTCCTCTGGCATGATTCATGACACGAGCCAATGTACCTCAATAAAATACAATAAAAACAGAATATTCAATAGGTGTCACATTGCAATGACCTCTTTTGTAGATAAGTTAAGTATTTGAGTGATAATCCACTTAGATTCATTCAGCCTATGTAGAAGAACATTTTTTGTGAATATAAGAATATAAATCTGCACAGTAAACATTGAAATAATATTATATAAAGAACTTAAGGTCCTAAGGCGTTTTAAAATTAATAATTTTTTCTAGGACTGAACCACCCAACGATGCAGCACTTCCACATTTATTACAAGAAACATGGTTGTTAGCATTGGCACTTACTCTATTCTCAGTCATAGTAATTGGTATAGTTAGCGTCTATTATATTAAACGACGTAACAAAATTCAGAGAAAGAAATCTACTGGTGAGTGATATATCTATTATAAATCAATTTGTCGACTTCTATGATGAGAGTAATTGAACTGTTGATCTCGTTGTAGGTCAATCTATTGTAACTGCTCAACAGTGTCTATTGAATAAAGACACAATTTGGCTTAGAGATCGTCCAGTATTTGCGCCCCCTGATTCTGCATTAGATGTTAGCAGTTGTCACCAAACTCTTTTGCAAGGTAATAAACATTTTATTTTTTTTATAATTGATATATGTAATGTATGTAATATAAGATAATTTTAAAATTATAATATATTTTAGGCGGTCAATCACCTAATATTTTAAACATTGAACCGGAATACTGCCTACCTCAGAACTCAATTCAAGGTTTGGATGCTTCAAGTGTAGACAGAATAAAAAGGGGGCCACCAGAGCCCTATGCATCCAGTGCTATTTACACGGAACTCAATTTCAAGGTACTCCAAGATAAGCATTATGAGAATTTTGTTGTTGATATTAGATAAGTAGACATTTTTGATTTGCGTATAACACTATCATAATACAAACATAGATAGATATAAAGTGATTTATACATAGAATAAATTTTCTCATAGGACAATAATGACATCGGAGATGCCCGAAGTTGTCCCGAAAGACGATCTCATAACAATAGTATTGTTAGATCCTGCAACGGCAGCATTCAATATTCCAATGGGGAATGTTCGACTTGTTGCCATAGCACTTCTAGTAGATCAACGAAGGATTACAGGGAAATGCGACACGAGAACATTCACAATGATGTAAATATTGCCGAAGATGATTGTGCTTCATGTCACACGAGTAGATCGGAGTCGAGAAATAGACAGGACAAAAGTAAAGTATGTCCGACTAGTGATTTAGAATATGATTATCCTCAGTGGCATTGGCTGGGAAGAGAAAATAGCTTCAAAATTCCCATTCAAACTGGCAGGCATTCGAATGCAGCGCGATCCGAGCAAGGATGTCAAATAAATCTGAATGATATACTGACTCCGCCGCCGTATGAGGTGAGAGAATTTTAAATTACAGTTTAATTACTTTCCCTTATGGAACAATAATTGATATAATATCTCTTGAATAATAAATATCAGTTATTTATTAAAGCACTTCATGGCATAATATTTTTTTTTTCTTACAGAGCCCCGAAAATAAGAGCCAGATTAAATAATTAAGTTAAAAAAATGTAAAAGCTACGTAACACGAAACGCAAAGCAATAATAATCGATATCATCTTTCAATTTTAATAGATCTTAAATACAGTAAATGTAACAATTTTAGATAAATGTGTCTGTTTATTCTTATTAGTAATTTAATGTTGGAATAAATTTTTTATCAGCTGTCTTATGAACCGAAAGGGTAAAGTTTCCAGACATTCTAATTAAAAAGCGACCCTGCGAATTATTAAAAATAGTAAATTTTGATAGAAATATATTACTCTTATAATAATAATCAGGCAATTTTACAGTTTTAAACGTCATTCATCAATTAATTATGCATTTAATTATATATAATATATATATATAACACTTCTATAATAACTATTATATATAAATTCAAATAAATGCTTGTATGTAAAATTTTCAATGTAGATAACAGCTAAAAGCCAATCGTAATCGGCTTTAATAAATTGATTTTCATGGAAAAGTAAATTGGTAATATATTTGTAGACTTAAAATAGTTATTGTTATGTAAAACTAAGCAAAATAGTAGTGGAATCGTATAAATAGCACCTTGTAACTTGTAGCTAACAAACCATTAGTAACTGTATATCGTAATTTATTCCTAATTCTAGTCAAAGTATTAGACTAGCTTCACATTTCGATGCTATTGGATTAGATATACTTTACTTTAAAGTTCATAAAACAAGATTCATTTTATTGGACGGAGTTAACTAACTCCTGACACTGCCATTTAGAGTTAGTGCTTTAGTTATATAATCTTTGACTGTGATATTTATATTAAATTCGTGTATTAGAAAATTATTGTATAATTGTATTGTATTGTATAAAATGTATCGAGCTCCACCATTTCAAAATTTTATCCATATTATTATAAAACTTTTTCTGATCTCTTTTAATATATTTGTTTTTGCAATCCAAATATTTTCAGAGCCAGTTGTATTATTTAAAATCTCGAAATATAGGACTTTTATATCACTTGTGTTGTTTTTTTATGTAGAATAAGAACCTCTATTTTATTCCTAAACAATTATAGATTTAATGGTGTATGTAGGTGAAGTATAATAAATGAGAATCTCGATTTTAAAATAAAATCTTATTATTTTTAATTTTTTTAAATAAATTGAAACCCTGGGACAGAAACGAACAAAAATCTAGTTAGTTGTTTTATATTCTTTCAAACTTCCGAAATATTATAAGCTGGATTTAAAGAAGAAAAAAATATAGAAATACAAAATATGTATATATAGAGAAAAACAAGATTTTCCAAAAATTTTAATATTTTAATATGCCAGAAAAAAAGAACAAATATTTATGTTTTAATTATTAAAATAATTAAGCTTGTTGTTAATAATTCAAATGTTATCATCAATACTAGTAGTAAATAGAATATATGTATATATAATAATACATAGGATATATATTTTTTTAATAATATAAAACTAAATACGGTTTGTAGATTTGTTATTTTATGTAAATCGTGACATTTTTATAAGATACAGTTTATAAAAATAATGATTCTCGAGGGTATTATTATGTTGCAAATTGAAAATCACGGGGTGTGTAGTTAGAACTCCAACGAAGCGAAGGCGGGTCGAATAGCTTCGAGTTTATGGTGAAAGATCAAATTATATACACCTGTAAAAATAAAAGATATATGTCTCATATTACTTTACAATGGTACATAAAAGCTTAAGTCAATTTTGGGCTAAGAAGTATATATAAATTACTTTCCCAGATTTATTGCCAAATGCTTTTAACCCAAAATCTCTTTATGGGATTCTTGGAAAATTTATTTTCTAAATTACTGTACTATTAATTAGATTTGTCGTCAGATATTTCTATATAATTTTAGGTTAAGATTAAATTTTCTCTCTTTATTTTAAATAACCTGGTTGAATATGAATTGAATGTTTTTGAATCACACGTTGTCTTGAACTTACGGTATTCAATGACTTTTTGTCTACAAAATTTGAAGTCATAAAATAGAAATCAATTTAAAAGATTCGTTTTAAAATTAAACTAAGATAAAGTATGTCTTATCTACATTGCAAGTACTAATTACATACTAGCGACTTACCCTCGCTTCGCTTGGGTGCAACCCTAGGTACGTTTTAAATAGATATAAATATAATTATTGCGAGTGTACCTTGTAGGAGATAGACATATGCTATTGTAGATTTTTCTGTTCGCCTTTTTAAGACCTACAATGCTCTAGTATATTGTTCTGATGTATGTCATAAGGTTTAGCCAGTGTTAGCCATATTTTCTTAGGTCGACTCGATAGAATCAGTTATTGTGTTTTCCCGTGGGATTGAAATATTTTTCTGTAGTAAAAGTTATCCTAAATATTGTCCCGAGTAATAAGTTATCACTATACAAAAAAATAGGTAAAACCATTTCAGTAGTTTTTGTGTGAAACGCTCATACACGGACAGATATACAGATAAACAGACATTTTTTTAATAACTATTATTTTGGGGTTCTATATACTGCACACAATACGTTACAGTCTGTTTTTAAAAAATATTTCATGTACAGATTTCGTTAAGTTACTATTTTATTATATGTATAGATTACATAAAATGTATTTTATAGGATACAAAATTAAACAAAATAATTATATTAAAATGTAATACGTATAATTAATTATGTGCATTCAACAGTCAATTTTGAATTTAACCAGTCAATAAAAGCAATATTGCGATATCAACCCATTGAAATTCATTTTATATTATTTGTATGAGGCAAAATTTTTACGGTTTTCACATAATAACATAATGAATACATTTTAACGTCATATAAATACATGAAAATTAAAAAAAATGATAAACGTTGTTTTGATTAACTTTAAGTACAACTATGGAAAGTATAAAACTTGATAATACTCTTGTATAAACAAAACAAATTCACAAATAACATAAATAAGGATTCGGTTTATAGCGGCTTTTCCAGTTTACGAGTAGGTATGCGACTAAGCCAGGTAACGAGGTGCTTCATTACTAAGTAGTGTATTATTTATGCAACTCTTCAATGTTTTACGATTCAAATAAAATCTTACTTTTCATTCTTAATGAAAATTTTAACCTACAAAAAATCTGTAATAATAATGATTGGTAAATACTATATTCAAGTTTTAATAAAAATGATGTTTGAGTGTTTAATAATATCCCAATCCACATTTATTCTGAATTAGATCTGAATGCTGGTATCGAACAGTTGTCTAAATACTTAGTTGCGGGCTCCGCGCGAAATCGAATCTGCGACAGTTGGCAAAGCCATGTCATATCGTATTTAAAATGCTTTATCTTAGCCGATTAAGGTCTAATTTTGTTTGAATTGATTCAATACCTTATGTTTATTTACTAACTAGCGACTAATCCTCGACCCAGATATCCAACTAACATCATATCCAATTTCATCAAAACCCGTCTAGTGGTTTTCTCGTAATGCGTTCCAGACAGACAGACAAAAATTCTAAAGGCTATAGATTCGGTCTCTATATCAATAATAATAACTATTTCAATAAGCTTTTCCAAAAACTATTTAATGTACTTATCCGACTCAGAATTTAAGGTTTCAGTCATTTTAAGGTTTAAAATAACAAAAGAAATGGGGGAAGGTATTAGACAAAAATACCTCACACAAAAACTATGGAAATAAATAAAAGTTTCATATAAATAGATAGACATTAGTGTCAACGTGATAGGTATGTATCATTGACGCGTGTTCCCCTACAGGGCCTAGACTGTACTAATCCATTAGCCATACATGAAAAGTTAATAAAAGCCAATAAAACAGTTGGACAGGTAGACATGACCCTACTTAGGGTGCAGCCCTGCACTTTAGGTGGCAATAAAATATTTATTATTGATTTATATTTATATCCAGATAGCATCTCTGTAGCGCGTATCTACTTTTTACTTTAGAGACTTTTTTATAACTGGCGTTTATAGGATTTTACCTTTACTGATATAGAAAGTGGAGAATTATTTTTATTTTCATACATACACATGTTTGCGACTTTTCTCGCGATCACTTTTTATTTTTGTCTATAATCAACGAATATGGCCCATGGAGACACTCAGGAAAGCTTAGAGGACGGAAATTTCAAATTGTTTCTTAAGATCTATAGACTGTAGTTAAAATGATAATTAAAATTAAATATAATTTTTCCTGTTAGGTAGGTAGTCTCTCTTTCTATTAGTATGTTTGGGTTCTTGTAACTCGTGAACTTACATGAATTTTTAATACGGAATAAGTTATCTGACAAGATTTTAGTATAGATTTGGTTACCGTGGCTAATTAGAAAGTCACGTATGGTATTATAAAAGTACTAGCATTGCCCGCGGCTCTGCCCGCGTTTAGATGATCAAAAACCAAATTCTTAGGTTTTACATACATACAGAAATGAGACATTTTCCCGCGGTGAAGAGTATCCTATATGTTGACCCGGATATCGACATGCTGTCACCATACCAAATTTCATCAAAATCCCTCCAGTAGTTTTTCTGAGATACGGTAACAGACAGACAGACAAAAATTCTAAAAACTATAGATTCGGCTTATGTGTCGATAATAATGTTTATTTCAATAAGGTTTTCCAAATAATATCTAATGTACAGATTCGGCTTGGTTACAATTTTATTATATGTATAGATGAGCTCATACCTAATGAATGTTACAGCGCTGGGTTTTGAAGATGTGCGTTTGAATGTAGATAGATTCTGAGCTACATGGTGGCGGATCACTGGTGCTTTAATAAATCACTGAAATCCGTCTCGATGTACTCGATTAAGCCATCATTGATGTAATTTTTAATATTATTTCATACTAGCATTGCCCGCGGCTCCGCCCGCGTTCAGATTACCAAAAACCAATTTTTTAAGTTTTACATATTAGTGTACTACCAAATTTCATGAAAATCCCTCCAGTGGTTTTTCCGCGATGCGGTAACAGACAGACAGACAAAAAATCTAAAAACTAT